CTATGGGGCCTATGGGTAGCTTAGGTGTTCGGGTGCCTTTTTTCTGAAATTGCAGGCTAGGGGACGAACGGGTATTGGCAGTATTGAGGCCCGGCAACTCCACCCTGCGAGTCTTGGCACGACAGGCCAAGGGCTTGGGCCTTGAGGCTTGCGGAAAATAATTCTACCGACACACCCGAAGAGTTGCGTGTGCCAGTCGTTTGAATGCTGCAGCGGAAGGCAGGCAATGAAACTGAACCCCTCCACGCTTCGAACTCAAGATCTCAACACCAGGCACCCCCGAACTAACCCCGTGAAGCCCTAAACCCTGAACCTTGCATCCCAAACGCTGACTTTCCAAACTGGAACCTCCAATCAAATCCCAAATCCACAGAACCTAATCTCCGAGAGCCTGCCACGGTGTAGTTGCTCCCCAAGGCGACCACGGCACCGTAACCCCGATGCATGGGCTCCCAGATCAGCTTGCCCGCATTCATTCCCTGGACTGTGATACTGTTGTAACTATCCCCTATCATGATCATGCTTATCAGCATTGAAGTATTTATTGTTGAGACTGTGCTTTGTCAGCATCATTGCAATCATCGCTGCGATGATGACCTTATCATCAGTTCAGTGCATTGTACAGTTCGACGTTTTTGTGCTCGTGGGTGAACTTTGGCCACCGCATGAGCACCGCAAGTCCCAAAAGTCTGAATAATCGTGCCAACATCCTCAGTCCCTCAGTCATCCGCGTACGAAGTAACAGATCAACAATGTGGCTGCCGCTGGTACTGAGACTACTAGTCATAGCCAGTGACGGTAGACTGTCAACACGCATGGGGTTGCCGCAACTGGCATGAGTGGCCTATGGCAGTCGAAGGGCAATCTCCTGAAGCAGTCTCCTCTCACATACAAACCGCCCGAGCTTGGCAAAGACCGGGGTCTGAATAGTCACAACTCTCTTCATCGATGCAGTTTCTGGGATCTGTAGCGGCCCGAACATGCAGCGCAGCCTTGACGACGGTGCTGTTGTTGGGCTCGACATCGTATCCAGGACCTTAGGTTAAAATGACAGGACGCCTCCCATTCCGCAGGTCTCTAAGTCCTATGCTTTGTAGCCAAACTCTCGGGCGGTGCCACCTCAGACTTCGAAAGGATCCAGAGACTTTGTGAGCAGGGGTAGCTACATTTAAGGATACTTCCAACCCAAACTCGGGTACTTGATAGCGACTCTGATAATTTAACTAACCATGAACCTGCAAGTACCTTCTACAAGCCCCTGCCAGTAGCAGGGTTTCCCACACACAAGCCCGAACCATGTACTGTAGTTTCAAGCTACGGTACTAAGTCACATACGGACACATCACGGAAAACGAAGTATGAATCTCAGGAACCCATCCCTCTGATATGAGTCACTCGAAGCCTTGACCCTAAGCCGTCCCTTCGTCAGTGACAGATTTGAGCCCCTGGCCGGTCAGCTTCAAGTCGCCGAGGTCAGCACTCCAGAGATTCAGGCGACGCACCTGCAGTTCAAGGGCCTAGGGCTGGGCTGACGGGTAGTAGTTAGTAGTAGTAGTAGT